TGACTAGAAACCCAAACAGCAATTTAATTAGTCATTTAATTGCTAATTGCTTTTATTGTAAAGTAAGTCCTAAAATACACACATAGTTTAAAATATTAATTTCTGATTACCTATATCATTTTTAATTGAAAATATGTTTTTTAATGTTTCAAGTTTTTAAACGTTAATGTATACTAGGGTACAATAATCGTGTTGATTTGTGTTGAAAGTGAGCGGCGCAGGTCTACAATTCTAACTTACCCAGATGTATACAATATCTTTGCTTCAAAAGTACAGAAAACACAAAAATGTGTCTCCGGATGTGTAAAAAGACAAAATTTTCCTAAAACTTTCAAAAGTCAAAAAGGTCATGATATTCGGTTACTGACTTGTTCTTTTGAATATACAAAAGAAATATTTCACAGATGGTCATATATTGGATTTCATATATTAGACCTTTTCTCATTTTTCTAATAACAACTTCATAAAAAAAAAATTAACGAGACCAAAAACGAGACTCGGACTGTGGTCTCGGAATCGCCGAGAAATTGTTGAAACACGTCTCGTCTCGGTATTGTCTCGCTTTTCCGAGACGAGAACGAGACGATACGAGAAAAGTCTCGGTATCGTGTGAAGCCCTAAATTGGATTCTATCACTAAAGCGATTTTTTAAATTTATTTTTGTGATTTGAAAACAAATTTTTACCTGCCTTTAAATTTTTTGGTGCGCTTTTAAATTTAATGTAATAATATTGTTGTTGTGTGCGTAGTCGTCAGTAAGGGCGACGGACTGTCACCAAAAACTCCAAAGTTCGTATGCTCTGGAGGTGAGGTGGAGATTATAGAGTCAACAACTTGCACGATCATTAATGCAGCACAACGTCGTTGGAGTTGGCTGAATAATTGCTAGTAATAAATATAAAAGAAGAATATAAGTTCATTTGGAAACATTTTGAATTCGCTTGAAGCTGTTGAGACATTGTCGTTCTTGGATTCCGTTTTAGGAATAGGATCACTCCAAGGATGGCTACCCCAGTAAGGATTGCTATCTAAATGGCGACTGAAAGATGATGATGAACGATTTTCAATGTTGGTTCATTTTAATTTAGTTCGGCTTGCTCGTTTCATAATTGTTAAAATGATTCGGATTTAAGTATGATGAACCTCACCATCATGAAAATACTGTCATCTGTAGGGATCAGTATGAAGCTGGTGTTTGACAATGGCAGGTGGAATCTATCCATCACAGATAGACTACATTGATTTATAGGTATCAAAATGTATTTATTGTTTGTTGCTTTGCCGTTTGCAAATCTTAATTATTCCTGCTCAAGATAGTAATATGTTGGATATTTTTCCTTCGCAAATTGTTGCAAGTGAAGTGTTGACGTTTATGGCAAACATCCAAGTATTTGGTGAAAGCAATGCTTTCCAAATAATTCGATTCATCTGATGCGTTTGCATAGAGAGAGCTTTCGAATATAGGTTCGATCAAACAATTTTTTTTTGCATCCAGATTAGTATGGGAATTTGGCATTTGAACTGGTGATTTCCAAGGCACATACATCTATTTAATTCTATCTGATTTATCTCAAAGTATTCGAGAAAAAAATGTTACTCTTATTAAATTAAAATTTTTTAATAGAATTAAGTTTGTAATTGCGCGTCTCAATTTTGCATTATTCTTAGTTTGCAACGTTAGTTGAAAGCGGTCTTGAATTGAAGCCGCTTTCAATCTGGCACATTAACATTATCATTTTTTCATAGGAGCATGAACTATTTCCTAATTGTTTTTTTATGTGATGTTTCATGGATTTCACCAGCAGCTTACCATATTACTTTGACATTTGGGGGAGCAGGCGGAGTAAAATGTCTGTGTATTGCTTCTTGTTGAATTTCTTTCGATATCTCAATTTGTTGAATTTCTTTTCCAAATAATTTGCTTGCCCTAAAAAATGTCATATGATTATCACTAAAAATTTGTTTAAATTTTCCTCGTCGTGCAATGAAACGACGAATTGCGGCTAAAAAATGTATTCGTTGTCATGTCACTGACGACTTCTACGAGTATATGTATAGCCTTAATAGCTAAAGTTCTATACAATAGAACTCGTAACATTTTCGTAAGCGATAAAACTTGTTGATTACGAGTATGTCAAATCAAGTTCGTTTACTTGCAACATAAACCATTTGTCTTTCGATACTTGTTGCGTCATAATGAGGCGGAAGTGGCCATTTGCTGCTATCCCATGTGAAGCGTGTGGGGCCATTCCACCAAAAATTGTTCTGAACAATTTTCTCGTGGCTAATGCCCCTGAATATTAAATCCGCTGGGTTTTCCTTTGTTGGTACGTATCTCCTGAATTGTTTCCGTACGTTGCTTTGAATTTCTGCAACTCGGTTGCCAACAAACGTTTTCCTTTAATGAGACTCTCCTTTTATCGATGATAGGGTGATCATAGAATCTGTCCAGGCGTTCCAATTTCAGCAATGTTAGCTTCATCTTGCTAAGCGCAATTGGGGATTTTGCCTGTAATAACGTGGTGTATATTCCTCTATCATCTCGCGTTACGCAATATACAACGGCTCCATATACTCGTTTGGAGACGTCACAGAAACCATGTAGCTGGATGCTCTTTTTGAAATGTGTCCATCGGTTAAGTTGAATATTCGAAATAAGTGGTAATTTATATTAGTATTTGCAGCCATTCTTCTTCTTGCTTCTTTGGAATAGGTTTATCCCAAGATTGGTCATCAATCCAAAGCGGTTAACTGTTTAACTTGGCATTGATTATAATTGTTGCCAACCATCCCAATGGATCAAAAATTTTGGATGCTTCTGATAGAATGGTTCGCTTAGTTATCTTCTGAAACAAATTTAACTTATATTTGAATGTGAAAATGTGCCCTTCAGGACTTCAGTTGATTCCCAGTAATTTCTTCGTCTCTTGGTTACAAACCTTCATGACTGAACGATCAATTAGCGCTTGTAGTAATTGTGACGATAGTTGATGACACATCACATAACTACTACATTTATGTCGGGAAAGATAACCAAATAGATCTACTGGAAGACAACCATACTACAATTATGCCTTGTCAGGAATATACGTATCTTGGCACAGAAAAACAAACAACAGAACATACGTTGAAATAGAACACCGCATTAAACCGCAAAAGAAAATAATAGGTAGCCTAACTCTATACTCTGGACTCGAATTTATAGAGAAGAAACATGCGGTTCAACTCAATGCTGAAAAGTAATGTTCTGTGCGAAAGTGAAACGTGGCAATTAAACAACAACTCCAGGTACTAGAAATATCAAACCAGACGTCAAACCAGATATACTCTAACATCCCCACAGAAATCAAAAATAACAGAAGACCAAAATCATCCAGGAGGGAAGGGATCAGAAAGAAGTCTTAACCCAAAAGACTGGGAAGACAAAAAAAATTAGAGAACGAAAACTAGAAAGCGTACGAGTATAACGAGAATAACCACAAAATGGTCAACTAAAAATCGACAACAAATTCACAAATCTAAGAAAAACCAAATTCACTGCGACACAAAACAATCTATTAAACAAGGGCCCCAATTACAACTGTAATGCAGAACTCTAATTCAAAATAGAAACAATAAGCGTCAGCCGGTGTAGCCGAAACAGAAAAAAAAACAATATTACATCTTCCAACTGCACGCAGAGAGAAACACGATTCAAAACCGAAAAGAGAAATTAACAAAATATTACACAAACTCAAAAACAACAATAACACAAAAATAGCACACAACAAAATTACAAAACCATAGAAAACAACATGATATAACAAAAACAAATCCAAAATCAAGCAATAACAAACCAAGACGAATAAACTCACAAGACAAAAACATTTCTAAATAATTTCAAAATAATTACATTACATTAAATAAAGCTCCAAATACAAAATTCTCAATGACCAAAACTAAATATCCGGATTCAATAGTTTAATATTCCTCCAATACATAAGACACACTAAAAAATAAAATAGAAAACAATGGCTTGCACTCCGGGAGTGCCGGTAGAAGTGATAACGTGAACAATAATTTTGCTATTACAGGCAGCTTAACAAAAATTTTTACTTAAAGGAAGCAAGATAATATTATACAAAATTGTAATTTATTTTTTTAATTTACTTTCTTACTACGAGTATGTGTAAGTGCAGATATCTATAAAATACTTTCAATTAGATATAGTAGTAAAGTGGTGGGTGATCAATCGTTTTCATAATTTTTCTGAAAACAATTTATTTCGCATAACTAAAGATACAAAATAAGTACCAATGAATTTATTAATACTTTTTTATTTGTTGAATATTTTAAGTACAATCATGATAGTTTACAATAATGATTGCAATGACAACCAGTTTAAAATTGTGCGACGCAGATGATTAGTCATTAATACCAAACCAACAATTATGTACACAATTAACAAATACCCGCTACTGCTGATTGTATACACAAAATATTTGAGCTGCATTAAATGAGCTTACAATAACATTTTCTTACATCTTAGTTATTTTCTTATGTAATTTAGATTCTAATTTGGCTTAATTACATATTTCGAGGGGGTTTTCGTTTTTATTGTACATCTAGGATTCATTAAGGGATGTTACCTAAAACTGTGGTTCGTCATCGTTTTTAGAAAATCACAACCCTTAGTTTTTTACTATGCAACAATTATCCAGTAGTAAGTCTACAACTAATTTACACTCAATTTTTGTTGGTTTTTCGTGTACAAGTATTTGGCCACAATAAATCTTGAACAGTTTTTACAAGTAAAGACTTTCTGAAGTTCTTGTTTTTATAAAAGTTGTAAATAATTAAATTTATTACAATTAATTTAACAGAAATTAAGACTTCTACGTGTACCTATAGAGGATAGTATAAATTCTAATAAAAATAAAAAACTACTTTTCAAAATAATACTGATCATTCTTTAACAATAATTAAATTTGAGGATAATATCGTAACTTTTCAATGAAATTAAGCATATCTTTCTCGTCCTTAGTGAGGGGATCATGGCGCAGATGATGCGCACTGGCCGAATTTCAAAGGATTGCGCACTTGTTGCGATCGAGCGCATCCTGCAGATTGTCGAGCATGGGACTTTGCTCACGCACGTCAATGCTATCTACCATGCCCATAAGTTCCCGAAAGGCCGCCACTAATTTCCAATTGTATTTTGCTGAACATTCCATATAACCACACTTCCAGTGCTTGCGTACCAGATTGGCGATATCGCGTCGCTTTTCTGCATCTCCACCAGTAATTGCCTTGGATGAGGCGCTTGTTGAAGCAGCACTATCTTCACCGGATATAAGATCTAGTTTGTTACCAATAACCAGAATTGGCACGTTGGACATGTTACGACTCTCGCAGATTTGCTCGCGCAGTGTTTTCACGTACTGGAAGGTTTCTAGGTTGGCGAGATCGAAGACCAATACATGGGCAGAAGCGGAACGCAAGCCGTAGAAACGGTAATCGGTCCACTCGTAATACGAATTGACTGGGAAATAAGGTATGACTGGTAAGTCGGAGATTTTAATTTCGTATAGACGGTCGTTAGAGATCACGCTTGGGTAGTAGGTGTGCCTACGGTCAGTCGGCTGGTATTCGTCGCAGAAGCTATTCCACACGAATTGCTAAAAACATGAAATGTTTATATCGGATTCAAAATTTTAGTTTGCGCCATATAAATAATTACTTGAACAATGCTGGTTTTGCCCACTGCTGGTGGACCAAGGAATATCACTTTAACACGATCAACACTTTCAAATACTTGCATTGACTTGCAATGGTTTTGTAATATATCGTTTTACAGCGATATTGTGAGGGTATAGCGTACAACAAGTGTTTACTTAACTTTACTCAGCTTATATTCACCCTCTCGCACTACCATTGTATTTCAATTCTAAACCATTTTATTTGTTATTGTCGGAACTTAGCTATGAATGAGATTAAAACTGCAGTTAACGAGAAAAAGATTGCTTAAATGGTTTTGAGATTTTAAGGTTAGGACTCCTTATATTATCCAGTTGCTAAGAAAAATTCACTGGTGATACCAGACAGAGATCATGTTTCTAAATCTACATATTCATGCCCGTAACACCACCGACATCGAAAGCAAACCTAATTTTGCAATATACTCCCTTTTTCTTTAACAATGTCAAACCTGTTATGATACGAGTGTTAATAAGGTTTATTATAAGGTCTATTATATATTTGCGTTGTTTGTCTATTATATGTTTGATTTGTTTTTGCAATAAAAAAAATTAAAAATTTACATTGATTATCGCAATGAGATCAGGCACAATTTAATAGTCAATTAAATTGAAATCGTAAAACAGTCATAAATCTAGATGGTGTTGCGCTGGGAATTGGCGAAGATTTGCGATGCCATGCGGATAAATAAATCAAACGCTTATCGTGTCAGGCATGTTCGCAAAGTGCAGTGGGTGGTGGAAATGGAAATTGAGGGTAAACTGCGACTCGTTCCAGCCAATGTAATTTGAACGCTTGAAACTTTGTTGACTTTCGTACTTTGTTGAATTATTAAATTCAAAAATATGTTTTTGTAACACTACTCGTATTTTTCAGAATTTGCCGTTAATTTATTAAAGTAGAACATAAATATTTAAAATGTAGATTCAGTGCGAGGTAGAAGTGTCATTTCAAGTCATTTGAGAAAATTATTTTTGCGGACTATAAAGTGCTACAAATTGTAAATATGGCTAGGTTTAAATGTTGAAAAATTCAATAATAAATTTTTTAAACGTTTTGGTTGGAAATTGTAACTATTTTATCTAGTCAGTTTAGGTTTTAATCTAACCACATGATATATAAATTAAATAAATTCTTTTATTAGAAATTATAACAAACTGCGTAATTATTTATATGTCAAAATAATTTATGCTTGGTTTTACTCTAAAGATAATTAAAAATTGTTTTGTTTAAAGCAACAAAATAAGTAGTGACAAAGAAGAGAAAAACTTGTAGCACCCGACTTGAATATAAATGTTATAAAATTAGTATACCCGCGTGGATTTTGAAAGCGCAAGCATAGCAAATTATATTTAAATGGATGAATGCGCGCCGCACTAGTTGACAACAAATTGCAAACTATAAATTACACTTTGTAGGAAAGTGGTTTGCCCCAGAAATGTTTTTAACCAGTCCTCAAAAAGCATTTGAAATTTTTTTCTACATCCCAAGTAAACCATTAATTTATAAAAGTTAATAATATTTTATAAAAGAGCCCCACAGTTTCAATATATATTGAATCTAATAGCATGTTCAATCATGATAATATTTTTTGTCATTACTTTGCAGTAGGAAAAGTTGGTTACTTTTATTAGTAACATTTTACTAGTATTTACACGTATATTCTTCCAATTCTTCCGATGTGCGCGGTACTTTTTGAAACTTTATAGTATTTCAAAATATTACTTGAATGGTTCAAATTAAGTGTGGAAATTTATTATACGCATGATGTAATCATATTTAGAAAATAATTTATGCGTGCAATAATTATGGTGACACTCGGCACGGTACTGATTTTAAATTTTAAACACATTATCCCTGTGCAAAGCCGAGACAAACCGCTAGCTTTAAAAGAAATGTGAAATGAAAAATAAATTTATATATTTAAATTATATCTGACTTTAATCGCATACTTCAAAGGACCGCTTTTTAATCATAAAATAAGCTCGGCTATACTGTGTTCATAGCTGTGTTTCAAGTAAATAAGGTTTTTATCGACGTCGTTGTTAACATTTACGGCACCATTTCACACGGTCATGTTGTGTTATGAGTCACATTGTTAAGGATCTAATATGCATATTCTGATTTGTCTTTTTGCTGCATATAGCCACACAATCAATAATGACAAACTTACATAAAAACAATAAATTGTAAAATTGTATTTTAGCATTTCCTAGATGCGTAGAAAATGAACTTGTCGTATGACATGAAACGTGCAACTTTTTTCATTAAACTTTAGAATGTATATTGTGTCTTCCTACTCAACCCTTCATGTCTCAATCAGATGGTTATTTGCATAAATTTGCCTAAGGCATCTAACTTAACATGCATTTGATGCTTATGTGCACTTTGCATAATGTAATTTCCATTTAACAAATTGTTATTATGATACATAATTAGTCAATTTCAAGCAAAATTAGCATTAAACAATGCTGAATGTTCGACTTTAATCTGTGATTCAACATCATTCATTTCTTTACTCAATTTTAGTTTCAAAGATGGTTTTACAAAACATTAAAACATTAAAAAAAACTTGGTTCAACTTAATAAATGAAAATTTATAATGGTTTATAAATATAAGAAAAATATACAAAATAAGACATACATATTTAACATTTTCGTGCTTGCGTTTACAAGTTAGTACATTTCTCATCTCGAGTTTTTTTTCTTTCTTTTCTGCATGACTGTTGCTGTCTGTAATTCTTGTTACATAATATTTCTTTGTTCTAAACATTCTGTACACGTCTGATTAAATTTGGTATTCTTGCTAAGTATTCAATTCCCATTATTCATTTTTCATACTTTCATACTTTCAGCCCAATATTAAATAGAAACTTTTGCATTCCTTTTGCTGACTACACTTTTTTCAGAATCCAGTGGTTTAAGACATACTTTATATTTTCATCGTGTCAGCTATTATATATCTATCAATACATTTCTTTCATATTTATGCAAGTTATAGTATTTTTAGAACGCAACTGGAATAAGATAAATGTGCAAGTAAAAATATGATAAAATATTGAATCACTTGGAGCACCACGCTGAATAGTTTTATGTTTAGTGTAAAATAAGTATTTGTAATAAAAACCGGAATAAATATTAACGATCTGCTACTATATTTTGAAAACATCATAAATTCAATTCAAACACAAATTTTGAGTTTTCTCTTATATCGAAGGAATTTTTAATTTTGTATTGTAAAGCAGGACAAAAAATATATAAATAATATTGCATTTGCATTATACTTAATACTTTGCAATATTGGATTATGCTCGAGATTTAATTTGTTGAAAGTTATTCAATGCACTAAGAGATTAAAATAACAACTCTCTCAATATTTTCTAACATTAATTCGATATAAACTGCGAGAGGATCACAAGTCACAAACGAAATCGAAACTAAAGTTTTAAATAACACAGGAAATTTTCATAGATCTGTAGGAATGGTAAAACAGCTGCAGGCTTTGCTGGTTCTTATTTCTATAAAATTACCTTTTCAATCTAACCGTTCACCTTCCCTTTTTTGTGATATTGTCAGAAGAAGCTGAAGATTTGTGTATGTGTGTGAATTGGCAATAAATCAACTTCTTTATGCTTCAATTCATCCTGTTTTTATTCTATTTGTAGCAAATAAAATGAAAAAAACTTTTGAAGCTCTTTTATTATATTCTTTTCTCTTCATCGTCTTATACATTTTCAGTGTCCGACATTAACCGCTTTTAATGGGCTAAGCGGAAATAAAAACTTCTATATGATATTTAATTTTTTTTTAAATTTAAACTTTTGTTCAAAACCTGAACGCGGAAATAGAGTGGAAGTAGAAACATTAGCGTATGCATCACGTGGCTAAACAATGTTAAACTAAATAAAACTACCATTTAGCCACTTAATACTCTATATACCATTAAAAATTTCAAGGTTGAATTTGAACGTACTGATTATTATTATAGATTAAGAGCCCGTGACGGCCAGACTTTCGTCATTTTAGGAAAGATGAAATTTTGTCCATGTGTTTCTCCAACACAGATAAGAATGATCCCCAATTATGAAACCTGGATCGTAGTTCCTTTGGCAGTTAACAGCCAACAAAGATGTACAAATGATGACCTATGTTTCGTTATTTTAGCAAACTCCATTTTTGCATATTTTGTTCGTATCATTATTATAACATGCGCTGCTCATTGCCAGACACCTGGTATGGTTCCAACCCTAGCCAGACACCCCTACACTACAATATTTTTAAATTGTACTTACGCCATATTATGAAAGATAAATTTTATATATATATATATATAAATATAATTCAGAGAGCTATTAAACTGTGTTTTCTTAGTCGCCAGACAGTTTGGTAAGTTCTATCATCCTGCCAGACGCATTGAAAGTGTATTATAGTTGCAAAAGTTAAATTGTTGAAAAATTTAAATTTAACAAACTATTATACACTTTCAATGCGTCTGGCAGGATGATAGAACCGACCAAACTGTCTGGCGCGAAAGAAAACACAGTTTCATAGCTCTCTGCATAATGTGTATCAAAGTCAGCTTTCCTAATATAACGAAAGTAAAAAAGTTAAAAAATATTATAGTTTAGGAGTGTCTGGCTAGGGTTGGAACCATACCAGGTGTCTGCCAATGAGCAGCGCATGTTGTAATAATGTTACGAACAAAATATGTAAATATGTAAATAATAGTTTGCTAAAATAACGAATTTGAGGTCATCATTTGAACATCTTTGTTGGCTGTTAACTGTCAAAGGAACCACGATCCAGGTTGACGGTATTTGGCCGTCACGGGCTCTTAGTCTATTAGGTATCATAACCAAACTGTCTAACGTTCATAATTTACTCTTCACACGTCTAAAACGGCAACTTTTTGCTTGTTGATTATAGATTCAAGGAGCCGATGTACCTTTAGTTTGCATACTAGTATTAATATCTTAAGAACATAACTCATATCTCCCACATTGCAGTCACTTACAGGTGTAGCTAAAAAAGTTTCTTTTTTTCGAACGGAACTTACGGTGACTG